TAAACATGTCCAGAAGATGCTGTTTTTCATGTTTTTCAAAACTCAGAGATGTCCATGCTAAGCGATTTCATGACGTTCTTCTGCTTCTGCTTTTGACTTTGCTTTTTTCGTTCTTTCCTCTTATTCAGGTCACTTTTCAAATCTAAATTTTGATTTAATAACCTAGCAGTCCGACTTAGCGATTTATTATTTTATGGTATAATGGTATAATTAATTATTTGGAGATATGAATTTTTTGCCTCAGCTGCTGTATTAGCGAATTCCAGCTGTGTTACTAGGATAGGGCGTTCACAAAAAAACACAGCCGAAATGGTCGTATTTTAGTGAACACTATCACAATATTTATATTTTTTATACATACATGTGCGCGGGGGGAAGAGGGGGGGGGGCAGGGGGATTCGACTTCTTTCTATCTATATTATGCTACTAATTCGGTATGCATGCTTCTGGTACTTGTGCCCACTCATATCTATCTGTATCTGAATATCCATATCAGGCAAGTTTGAAGAAGCCGAGACTTTGCTGACAAAAGCAATTAATAACATAAGTAATCGTGTAGTCAGTTCAAGTGGTGGAATAAGCATGACACCAGCGTTAAAATTCGAAATGGACGAGTGGCAGAAATTATGGACCAGGTTGGTTTACTTCGTTTTTTACCAGTTTTTCTAGGAAAACCAAGTAAAAAATGTTTTGACTGTTCGCTACAAGAATAGATAAGATTGTAGCTAATGTGCGATGTTTGCGGGGAGAAATAGAAAAGAAAGAAAAGGATGAGAAAGGGGTGAAAGTATGAGATCAGAAAACAGGGTAATATGAGAAATTCAATACTAATCTGTCTGTGTTTCGCCCTCTAAATATGGTTTTTGAGTGAATGCTTTTGTAAGAGTCAGATGCGTATGACTTTAGGATTCGTTTTATTGTGATACGCTTGTCCTGTGAAATAAACTCCTCTTTCATCCTTGTTACAAGTGGTGAATATTGTTTAAAATATAACTTCCTCCATTTTTACTTCTTCGGAGATTACAGGCACATTTAGGTTGCCAGGGTGATAACTTGTGTAAACAGCAACCATTTGCTGACAAAGCTTTTGACTGGTTCTTCATTCGGAAAGTTTGTTTCTCTAAAAATTAATAAACTAGGCTAGTAGCGTAACCTCTGTGTTTATGTATGTGGACACACCTGCTTATATATTTATATTTATGACTAGATACAAAAGCTAAGTTGCTAAATTTATGCAAAGTGAAATAAAAAGAAAGGGAACAATAGATAAGCAGGCGACGAGGCTCTGAGGAGGCGGGGTTCCACAGAACAAGGTGAGTAATAATAGGAGTGACTCTGGATCCCGAAGATGGGGAGAAGTGCTTTTATACCCCAATGGTTAGAGATTAGAGATTACTAAGATTGCAAAACTTTAACGGGGATAGGGTTTCCGAAGTATTGCATCACGGCGACGCAATTGTTCCTTGCGTAATTTCTAACAAAAAGCCATAAATCATTATGTGACATGTTATGTGACAAAGCTGTTTGCAGTGCTCTAAGAAAAATATAGTAGGGAAATGAAAAGATTCTACAAGTGGTTGAGAAAAATGGTAAATGATGAACCACAACAGCTTTCAGAATGGGGTTTTGCCTATGATAACAGCTGAACAGAGAAAGATTTTATTATTTTAATTGTAGTTGTGAGCGTGAATTATGCGAATGGAACGTGCTGTTAACGTACGGCAGTTCGAATGCTGTACAAGATCTTGGCTGTGTTGCTGATGCAGCATGGCATCTTCCGCAGTGGTCACTGCTGCGCGACTGTGTTTCACAGCTGGAGGGTTGCATACCACCGGACCTGTACTACAAGCATACCCTCTACAAAGCTATGCTTTTGGTAAGATTTTATTAGTTAGCAAAGAAGCATTTTGTATAGGATCGATCCTTCATTCTCGTTTTGAGGTGTTTTTTTGGTTTATGTTGAGCATCACCGTCTCATCCTTTTTCAAAAAACGGTACCTGATGTAGACCTCCACTTTGTTGATTAGGAGTTCGGGAACCTCAAAAAAATTGAATTGGGAAGGATTTTTGAGAGGTTTACAAAGCCATAACGACCAGCTGGACTGTCAGCATCACGAAACCTATTAGGTGTATCGTTATAAAAAAGAAATGCTGACCATGAGATCCCAAAGATACCACCAAGTGCTCTAAAGGGAGATATTCACAGATCAAAGTTTTTGAATCGTTTTCCAAAATATTGTTTTATCCCTTCAAATCCCTTCAAATTTCCTTTTTGTTAAAGGCGTAGACACACGGAAGTATTTCGAAGATAGCAAACGCCAACAGCAACCACCCCACGGCAAGACTTTTAATGGCACTTTTTTTCGAGGGTTGCTTAGAATCAAGCTGATGGCGGGCTTTTTTCCCTTGGCACTTGCTGACACCAATTTGTCATTAAGGTGAATGAACAAATCATAGGGAGATTGGTCATCTCAGTGGCCAAAGAACCTTCATTTTTTCGCGCAGAAATTTAAGGAATTACTCCAAAATTATCTTCTCAAATCAAGGTCATTCGGTTTTTCAATGTAAAACATTTTGCTTGAAAATGGCAATCTTAACATCGCTTTCTTTAATTATTTTTGAAGTTAATTTCTCTAGTATTTAATAGCTGACTATTGTGTATAAATTTTTTGCACTTGTGAATTCTTGTTAGCCTTAAGCAATTTTTTATGCGAAGACACTGTTGAATTACGAAGCTAATCCCTCCGAAATCATCAAGTTTGGTATTTTCTTCCTACAAATCTGTTACTTAATGAGTGGATTTGTTGAAAATTTATTTTTTGTCTCAGTAGAATGAAATTGGAATGAAGAATGAAATTCTCAGAGGATTTAGAAGCCACCGCTAGAATGAAATTGACACGAAGAAAATGAATTTTCAAAAAGTTTTTTTGATATATTTATATATGTGTGTATATCAAAAAATAATAGATGTTTAGGTTCCTTTATTTTTACAGAATCACGATCCCATCCAAGAAGAATTAAGCACAGATTTGCCGCTTACTCGAATAACTCGTGAATTAGATAACGCAAAAGAGGATCTGATCAGGGAGTGGAAACGTCTGCCGGATATTGTTTCACAAAGCCACGTCAGCATATTACAGGTAAGTATATCTCTAGTTTTTTACAAGTCATTGATCTTGAAACATGAGAGTGGTAAAATATCCTTGTAAAGGAATCCGGCAGTTTGAGAAGAGTGGTTTGGCAGTTGATGAATTAAAATCTTGATTGGCCTTGATTTTTTTTTTTTTTTGTATTGAATTATGCATGATAGCTCCGCAATAGGATCCCAAGTTTTTTTTTTTTTTTTTTTAAATGAATTATTTATAATAAAAATATTAGTGTTGGTTTATATGTACCAACACTATACATATGCATACTGACACTAATTTTTTATATATATTAGAAAAAAGATTTACATATACATAATAGAAAACATATATAAATAATATATAAATTAATCGGATGAACAGAAATGTTTCGGTCTATTAAGTCGTATACATTCCTATTCAGCATCATAACTGAACTTTGTCAGCACGGCGATTATAGCGTTAATAAATCAAGAATAGCGACTGAAATATAAATATGTTTAAAACTAATCTTTAAAAAAATTGAAACTGTTATTGTAAAAATCAGGAACAGCCACATGAAACTTGTTACAGGCAGCAAGTCAAGTCCAGGAAATATACGAAGGAAGCACGCTTGCCAATCATGGCCATATAACGATTCAAACAAATCCTCATGTCCAGGTGTCGTTGCAGTCAAATCCAGTTGGAGATGCTAAACAAGTGGTCAAAGCCTGGAGGTCTGGCTTTTTTTGTCAGAGAATTTAAAAATCATTGTTAAAATGAAATTAGCTGGTTTGGTTTAGAAAGAAATAGTACCGAAATCGTGCAGTAGGTCGAGGATTTGGCTACGCCAATGAAACAAACAGTTTGTCTACGATTCGTTCATTCGTTTCTATGGTAAATTGGTAATGGCATTGTTATCAGCTTGCTTAAAAGCTATCCTTAAAAGGGGGTGCCATCAAAAGTTTTTTCGGCGGGTGGACGTTGTTGGCACTTGCTACTACTTTAACTACTTCTCGAGTGCCTCCTCCCCTCACAGAGGACAAATTCGGAGGAGATTTTGACATTTGTGTATTGGAATATAGCGAGCAGACTTAGTGCAGCGAAAGTTTATCCCATTCCCGCGTTTTTATGCCGGCGTTAAATTTCGTCTGTGGAAGATCGGTTCTTGTATGGTTTCCTGAATCATTTCGATGATAATGTGATGCCTGTGCACGCGAAGATGTCAAAATTACATTCGATTTGTTCTGAAGAGCCATCAGCCTTCTCAGTGCGCGGTTGCTGTTAGACAGGTGGTACCTCTCGAGCAACTTTATGGATTTCCCAGTCTCTAATGGAGATTAAATCCTGAGGGTTTTAGTTTTTGACGAAAATGTTAGTATTGGCACACACATACACACACACACACACGCACACACACATACACACACTTATCCTTATTAATTACTGGTTTTGCTTATTTGATTACTGCTTGTCATCACCCAATAGTCAGAGACAAAATTCCCTCCGTAAACACCTTTTCTGACAGGCAAAGGCACTCGGGAAATGCCAACAGCAACCACTGGTTGGTAAAGCTGTCGATGATTTTCATTTCCAAGATTGCTCACAAGCAAACTGATGGTTCCCTGGCATGTGTTAGTGCCAATTTACATTTGCTACAGATACATTAACATTGCCAGGTTCACTTTCTTCCACTGTTCACGGTTGTAATTTAGGAATCGGTCATGTGCTTTATCAGATGCTTTCTCGTTTTGGACGGATATTCATCACTGGCGCATTCTTCATTATGGTTTTTCCTCCAAAGTTCTTCAGCGTTTCGACCCAGTTAGTTCCTTTTTTTTTCGATGTTTCTTTTTTTGTTTGGAAATGTATATGTGGGGAAATGAATCAGTGGCGCAGTCAGGGAGAAAGAAGTATCCGTAACATTCAGATAGAGTTCTTATTAAAAGGACTATTTTTTCACATGGAAGAAAATGTACAAATATTGGGATGGGAGCGTTAAATGAGGGAGAAATTAAAACTTGTCAAGAACAGACGAGGGCGTAATTGCATGAAAGGCAGTAAATTCGTCAATTGTGATTGATTTTGACAAGAAAACGGGTAAAAAATGCATCTAGACATATGTAGAATCTTAAAAATGTCAGAATTATTCAGATAACCAATACGGGTATTCCTTGTTAGTGATATTAACTTGAATACTCCCACGCGTCAGACGTAGCTATGTCAGACCTTTTGGTTCTACGCATGTACGGTTCTTGAGTTGCTACCACGATACTGACTACGCCGTACGACACAACGACGATGATGGCAAAAAAAACCGCCTCACCGGGCTGTACGCGGGAACCACGCATACCTGGGGATTGAATTTGAAATCTTTGAGTTCTAGATGGTTTGTTTATTGTATACCGTTCAATCGTATGAAAAGTGTGAAAATTCCCACAGAACGACATTTTAGTTTTGAGAACTGAGAATTATATCTCTGTCTCTTTTTAGAATACAGAACCAAACGTGTTTCAGTCATCGCAGAATCATACCCTTCTACCACTGCATTCGGCAGCTCATTCGCAGCTCCAAATTGCACGTGCTGCACGAAAAGCTGGCCTCCTGAATGTTGCTAACGATACTTTGAGCAGGTTATTTTTTCTCAAACCCTTGGTTTCCCTCAAAGTTTTTGACTCACCTGACTGTTATAATAATAAATTAAAATAATACCAGAATTCCTGACTCATCTGATTGCTGTTATTTCTTTGAAAACTTCCAAAGATCGTTTTTATGCGTTTTTTACAGCTATGCAGTGCAAAAACGCATATTAACGAGGGGTTGTTTGTGTGTGTGTCTATGTGTGCGCTGCGCGTCTGTACCGATTTTTCATCTCGAGACCCACAAAAACTACAGGGCTAAAACTTCGGGGACATAGTCTACATGCACGTACGGACCCCCATCCCCAAAATGGGCAGTCTTTCCCGCGTGGTACCCTCGTAAGAGCCCGCCAAATTTTTTTACGAGTAAGCTGCTAACTCGCGAACCAGAAAAGCTAGAGAACTGAAATTTTGTGGAATCGTTCCCCGTCCAAGTAGGTACTAGTGAGCTCAAACTCAACCCCCGGGTAAGCGTGGTACCTGCTTACGGGCCCGCCCAAAATTTTTCGCGCGCAAATTTGCAACTCGGGGATCTGAGATGCTAGAAGACTGTAACATTAAGAGGGTGTTTTTCGTCCACATTAGTCTCAACGAAATCAAACCCAGCCCTCGATCACGCGTGGTACCTGCGCACGGGTCCACCAAAGTTTTTCTCGGGTAAACTCATAACTCGAGAACCTGTAAAGCTAAAAGACTGTAGTTTTAAGAAGATGTTCCCGTCCAAGTAAGTCTCAACGGGCTCAAACCTAGACATCGGGCATGCGTCGTACCCGCATGCGGGTCCGTGAAAATTTTTTCCAGTAAGTTGCTAACTCAGGAGCCAGGAAAACTAGAAAGCTGAAATTTTAAGAGGGTGTTTCCTGCCAGTTCTGGCAACCAGTCTTAATTTGTTTAGCTTGAAGCATATGCCGAAAAAACCGATGCCGGTAATGACAGAAATTGTGGGAAACTCTACAAAAAAAGCATCTTCGCAGGGGCAGCTTGTGCGTTGGCCAATTATTCTCCTTTGTAAGTATAATTTCGGACGTGCTAGATCAGTTTTTCTTATGGACATTACCCTTCTCCGCTACTGTCAAACGAGACTAATGAAGGACCGATTTAATTAGTTCCGAAAGATGCTGTTTTATCGGCATCAGTGTATTCTTTGTCATCATTGGTGCAGTTGGCGACTGCTTTATTTTGCTCGGTTCGAAGCTTATTTAGATGGCTTTTCATGTGGTTATGTGGGCTTTCCGGGCTATCATCTAGTTCACAGTGGATACCATTCAATAATTCACTTTGTCCCTTTTGTGTTTTTGATTCTCGTCACATTCTTTTAGCTTATCCTCTTCCTTTGTTCTGCATTACCACTGTAACATTTTTATATGGGTTCTATTCTTCCAGCCTTGAACCGTATGGAAATCAACTGTGCTGAACTTTTTATTTGTGCAGCCCCCTATTATGTATGTTATTCTTCGGCCTACCTATGGCTGCAAATTACCACTGCACATCTACTACAACCCCGAGATTCCTGCCTGGAATGACTAATTTTGGCTGGGTTTCCATGCCCTCTCTTTCCTTTTTTTATATTCTTTTTAAATGCAAATTTTCAGGTTGCATACACTTACAATAGTGACTGCAATGGATGCATTTCAAGCACTGAAGGAGCGTGTGAAATGCTTGTTACAACGATCAGCGCAGCACGGCATAACAAAAGAGGAGAGGCAAAAAGCACTACGAAAAGCACTGGAATTTCTTGACAGCACAACGATGCGATCATTCAACAAGGATAGTATATCGAAGCTGTTCACTTTACGCGGAATTATTCACTCGAAACTTCAGAAGTTGGTGGTTTTTTTGGGGCTCATATTACTTTCATGTTGCTTTTTAGACAGCTTCCAAATTAGATTATAACTGTGAGGAATATCGGAGAATAAGTAATTTTTTGACAAAGTGCTTTTACTCGGTTTTCTTGAATGCCTGTTTTTCTGGTAAAAAATTGGGGCGAGGGAAGTGAAAAGAAATGACACCAACAGCCACAGAGTTGAAATCATGAAATGCGGAAACGAAAGGCTTTGTAGGCTACTTTCTCTACTGCGACAATTTCAACACCAAATGCGCTCTACATGTAGGTGTAACGAAGGGGCGGGGGGTGGGGGGGAGGGGAGAGGGGAAGAAGGGGAGGCAATGAGCGTTTCTCCCTTGTTCCTGCTGCACAGGCACCAGTGCTACAAAAGTCTGGGTCTAAAGCTAAAACTGAA